CCCCCCCCCCAAAAAAAAAAAAAAAAAAAAAAAAAAAAAACGAAACAACAGCAGGCATTTAATGTGAATAGAAAACAAAAATAGGGAGCTTGCCGATATGCAGAACTGGATCACCGCGCTTTTTCCACATGTTCCACTCGTCCAAATCGTTGTAGATCGGAATTTCGAATGCACTTTCATCAATAAACGCTCGTGCTGCTTCAGTTGCAACCACACGTATAACCTAGAAAGCAAAAGTTAGACTTGATGGAAGTCTGAGTCGCTTCAAAAAAAGTCATTCAAACAAAAAATGGATCAGAAAACCGGAAACCAATCTGACAGAGCTGATAGAACAGTAACACCGGAGCCACCAGGAACTGAAAAGCTCTACAAGCATTACAGAGATATCGATGAAGCGCCGCTGCGCCAAACTGCTCGGCTTCGACTCGTACCCAGAAACATACGCCAGTAATCACTTGTGCTCGTTTCCCCCCTCCCCCTACAGAGTACCGATTTTTGGTTTTTGGTTTAAACGTCTATCAATACGAATGACCGCAATTACCTCGTGTTTAACTTACCTACAGCCTCAACTCGTCCTAGGAAGTAAATTGTATATGTTCAGAGTCCAACGAAAGGTAGACAAGCGCAAACTTCCGATGGCCATTTAGAAAGTGCGTGTAAAATCGCTACAGCAGCAATTCAGCTAAGCACATCTACACGCAGAAAGCCAAGATTGTCAAGCCCCAATAACAAACTACATGAATTACCTTGCCCTTCTGCTGTGGCACATGTTGCACGGCCGATATTTTCTGTTTTCATTCATGACATTAGATCAACTTTACTTAGCTTTTTTTTTTTTAACTCGTACTGTGTGCTTAACTATCTGATGCTCTTTACATGCACGTAGATTGACGACCCTATGCTCTGCTGGTAGGATGCGGCTACGTTCAACCTAGCTCCTTAGCATTTAAACGTGGTATCGCGCGCGTCAAGTCTTGCTTATGCTCAATTTGTACTTGGTCATCCATGTATGTTAAATTACGCATCAACCCACTAAGATCTGTGCGCCCTCATCAAAGCAATCTCGCAATTCGTTTCTCTTCCCGGGGACCAGTAAGTCAATCGAATCGACGCATGAACAGGAGACCGAATACGTGCGACAACTTATTTAGAAACGATTAAATCACTCAGTTCGAAACATATTTAATATAAATTGAATTATTTGATAAGGACAGACCAGTCGCCCCTGCGGGCTTTGTTTCTGAAGCTCAGTGATCAGTTCTGAAAGCTTGATCGATGCCACCGATCCAGTTATGCCAATCAGCAGATGAAATTTGCCACCTTCCCTAGCAATCACGTGATCCGGTCCATATGGCTCTCGAGTTTTCGGTGGATGACGAAAATGCTGCAAATATTCGACCATAAAAAATGATCCCGCAAATATTCTTCTCAGAAGTAGGATTTCGACATCAATTTATGTGAAATTTTTGCAGCCTATGGGGCTACTGGGACCTTGAAACCCGCGCTTCCGTTAGTTCTCCATATGAAAAATTGAGATGTAACTCCCGACCAACTAAAATTCTCCAGCATTTTCCACTTTCTTCTGTTTCTTCCCTCTGCCAGTTTTCTTCTAACATAAATCAGATCAAAGGCAGCACAATAACTATTACAAATTACTGCATGTCTGCCAGAGGTCTGAAAAAATCCGAATTTTCAAATTCTGGCAGTGCCCTATTACTGCCCCCAGCAATCTCGATATAAATGCCATGATGTTTTAGCTACCTCATGAAGCCGAGCGCAAACAGACGGCTCCTGACTCATTCGTTCTGTTAACAGACAAAAATTTCACAGTGCGCAGCGTGCTATCATTTTATCGAAAATCAGCAGAGGCTGGGCAACAGTGAGGGCAACTGCAACAAAAAAAACAGTCTCCGTCAGGGAGTTTCGAAAGATCGCAGCTGTTAGCAAAACTTATTTTCAGTAGAGCGTGCCCCCTGAAAAAAAAAGGTGCAACAAACTAACATCGACAGTCGTAACATCAACGTCAATGTAACCAGCATTCGGATCGTCCTCCACGCGCGGTTTCTTCAGAACCACGCAGTGCTGCAGCTGCTGCTTGCTGTCCTGACCGTCTGGCATTGGCATTCGTCTGCCCAATTCGTTACTTTCAACTTTGATAAAGCCCTCCTGACCGACCGCTTCCTCAGCGTAAGTTATTCCCACCTGTGGGTATTCTGCTGGCAAATATACGCCCGATAGTGTTCCTAGCTCCTCTTCGACATACAGCCCCGGGCCGCCTAAATGAGTTTTCAACGGATTCGCGAACAGCTCTTCTTCGTACACCACCTCCTGTTGTTGCTGCTCCTGCTGATGCTGCTGCTTTTCCTGCTGACGTCGCTGCTGAAAAAATACGATTCGCAAAACCGTCTCATGCCACCTACAAAATTCGAACCACCCACCCACCTCATCGTAGTGCTGAGAGTGGCAATGCACTGGAGAATGTTGAGGGACAGCAAAGTGCAAAACCTGGCAGCTTCAAACATATCGAGAGGACACTGCACTGCATTTTGTCACGCTAAACCTGGTACTGGAAACCAATATCAGCCTGTCTGGCGACTAGTAACGCTGTAAAAATCACGCAGCTACTTGCGCTAAAACACAAACACACGGTAAATAATACATTATGGAAAAAACATGAATGAAGAGGAAGAAAAAAAACTGGGCTCCAGC